CCACACCTACAGACAATAATTTAGACGCCATATTGCCACTTATTACTGCAAACATTACGGAGAACCTCCTAAACGACCTGAGCCTGTCTGGAAATGAAAAAGTGAAGGTTCGCCTTATGAAACTTTTTGACATGATGGACTTAACCATTGGCTTGTGCCACTCGGAAACAAAAAATGGTGTGCTGGGGATTCCTGTAAAATTATTGGTCGTACTGGCTGTATAAAATGTTGAATCGGTTCTTTCATTAAATGCTTCGAAAATTACTGGAGTCTGACTTTTATTAAAAAAGAGAAACTTGCAATATGACCCAGTTTTGCCATATGGCAACATGCGTTGAACAAAAAACCGTTTTTGAAATGAACAAATAATTATTGAAATTGTGTTTAATTAGCATAATCATTGTTATTTATTACAAAAAACTCGAAAAATTTAACAAAAAAAATTCAGGAACGAATCGGGTTAAGGTAGGACGTTCCAAGAAGAATAGAAAGACCCAGAACAAAGTTCCTTAAAAACATCGATAAAGACATGAGAAATATAGGAATACGTGCTTAGCGGAAAAGGCGATGGATAGACCGACTGGAGAAAAATTATTGGGGAGGCTAGGACCCAGGGTTATAAAGCCAGAATTATGATGATAAAGACACTGTAGCTATCACGATCCTAAGGTGATACTATAATTCTTACTTTGAATTATTTTCTTCTCTTCTTATTTATTCTATTAAACTGACTATTTCACTCATCTTAAAATTTTCACATAATCTGACCAATCACAAACCAAAGACAGCTTGTGTTATCGCGAAAACACCAACTGTCTTTCAATTCTGATTGGTCTATCAGCTTCGTGTTTTCAACGACGTAACCATGGATACCGATCGCAAAGCAAAGTTTGACGTTTGCCAAAAAAATTATTGTAGCTGTATACGTCAAAATGAGTCGTTTCGGTGGTATACTTCAAACGAAGTTACAAACCAAAACATTGAAGAAAATATACCGAGTAACACAAGAAAATCTAAATCTTATATATGGAGACAATTTATGATGTTCTGTGTGGATCGCAACTACAAATTAGATGCAGAAAATAACGAAAGACTAGCATTCATTCTAAAAGACTGGGCCTTCAACATGCGAAAAATTGATGGTAGTGATTACAAGGAGAGTGTTATTAAAACTATATGGAACACTACTGCAAAATTCATCCACCTAATGGTCATATTATTCAAAATTTTTACAATTGCACCGTTTATAATTATTGTAGTCGAGAATAATGTATTTTTTTCGTGTACAAATTATTTATTGTTATAGGTAAAAAATAATTATAACAAATTATTTATAGTTATAATAAATATTTCATGATTAAGACTAATTGTGAATTATTCAAAAAATGGGTAGATTTGGGTTACCTAGATCAAATGTATTATTATTAAATTCCTTCCTCTCATTCTACTGAATTTTTGACCTATCACTTTGTTCATGAAATAGTCTAATAAAATACCACTCGTAATTTAATTTAGCTTATAAGTCTGTCTTTTATTTCTAAACTCAACTGAGTTTCTTAAAGAAAACACCACTCGTCCTACGGACTCTGGTGTTTTCAAGCAACTCAGTTTCGTTTAGAAGTAAATCGACAGACTTATCGCGAAAATTGAATCACTAGTGGTATTACTATTGACAATCGTTTTGACATTGACAATCCGTTTTTAAATTATGGCACATCTACCCAAAATTTTTATTTTACGTATAAGTCCATTCAATACTTGTTTTATTAGGAAGGTAAAGGTTCAAATTTAGTTTTAATGTCATAAAATAATTAAAAACCTTTGATTGCAGTTACATACTTATTCTTCAAACAAATCAAAAAATTGGAGAAAGAAATTGGTAAGATCTATGTTACATTATTAATACTAATTTTTTGTAGATGCTATTTTTTTACTGTAAGCACTATTATAAATATATACAGAATTTGTAGATTCCTTCCTTTAAGGAATAATTTGTTTTTGGATCTGTATTCAAATTTATGATATGTAAAACCGTAAAATAGTTTCGAAACAAAATTCAGATTAATGCTTTAATCTGTGCTTTCTAAAAATTGCAAAGCAAAACAGACGTTTTGCTTTGCGTAAAATTTGCATTCCACGACACGTCTTATCAACTAAGTAGAAATCCTTAGCGAATTGGTTTCTACTACTCGTCCAGAGTAAATCCGAAAAAAGTGAAAAGACAGCAAATATTTGATTTCACGCAAAAAGCGCCTTTGTATCTGTTGATACGTATTTCGACCTACTAGGTCTCATCAGAACAGTTATTCAAAGGTGTTCTCAACGTGAAAGATCAATTTTTTTTGTCTTTTAAGAAGCAACACTAAAATTTTGCGTGAAATTAAATATTTGCTGTCTTTTCACTTTTTTCGGATTTACTCTGTACAAGTACTAGAAACCAATTCGCTAAGGATTTCTGCTTAGTTGATAAGACGTGTCGTGGAATGCAAATTTTAGATTCCCCACGTCTCTTTTAACACCTTTATCAACGTCTGTTTTGCTTTGCAATTTTTAGAAAGCACAGATTAAAGCAGAAATCTGAATTGTGTTTCGAAACTATTTTACGGTTTTATTGTCAGATGTCGCTATTGCGTCCGTATTGAAGCCATTTTAGTGTTGCTTCTTAAAAGACAGAAAATATTGATCTTTCACGTTGAGAACACCTTTGAATAACTGTTCTGATGAGACCTATTAGATCGAAATACGTATCAACAGATACAAAGGCGCTTTTTGCGTGAAATTAAATATTTGCTGTCTTTTCACTTTTTATGATATGTATCTGACTTTTTTTAAAAACTCTTCTCAATCCTGTTATGCATATTTTACTGCCACAGCTTTTTATTTATCATCTAAATTATTTGAATGCTTGACTGAACCTTCTTATAACTTATGTTTTAGTGTATGTTTGTTAACGTTAGTGAAATTTTTCTACACAGTTATTGGTCATACAAACATAGTTATTGGCATATAGAATTAGAGTTATTGGTCATTCATAAAATTTCTAATTTCCTTTTTTTTGTTTGTGCAGGTAAGGCACACAAAACCATTTAAGTTTTCAATTTCTTGTTGTTTCTTTGCACAAGTACTAATATGGTAGCCTCTAACACAAAATAGACATTTTATTTCAACTTTTTATTTAGACATATTATAGGAACAAGAACACAATCCTGTATACAAAAGGTTATTTACAGTTAACATCGTCCCTATACACGGCTGAACTAGAGCCGAAGAATTGGAGCGCCAAGAGAAACAAGAAGGTAAACACAAAAAATACCTTTTCAACAAAAATAAAAAATCTGCGACTTTCAGTGATAATCTAATAAAGAAAAGAAAAACTAGAAAACCAGTCCAGATACTGCCCAAGAAAATGAAACAAAATAATGATTTGCCTATCCAAAATAAGTGTAAAAATAAAGAGTGTCAGGCTGAAGATTCTGATACGACCTTTAATGAAGACGAGGAAGAAGAATACGAAGAAGCTTGCATTTTTTGCAACGAGATGTACAAAAACTCTATCGATCAGGAAAGTTGGATTTCTGTGCTGCAAATGTGGTGGCTGGGCACATCAGGCTTGTTCAAGCTGTGAAGATGATGATGACACTTTTATATGCAATTTTTGTTATGGTTTGATTTTTATTTCTTTAATACTGTTCATACTATCATACTGAACCTACTGTATAATAATGTTCAATACTTCATTACATGTTTAATTAAAAAATAACCTAATATTTCTATGTACCCCATTTTACCCATCCTTTCTTAAAAAACGAGGTATTTGCACATTTTCAAAAATGTCTATTTCTATCCTTACGTAATTTTTATTAAATACTCAATATCTGTTTTCTGGTACCAGAAGTCACACTTTAACTACATAATTGTGTAAAATATTTTATTTATTACAAATTTTCATTTTCTATCACAAAATGTGATGGGGTCGCCATTTTGGGCAACTCTTCACTATTTATTTTTTTGTGGGAAATCCAAATCTACAATAAAAATGGGGGTTTCCATTAAAGATTTTAGAGTTGTGTTTTTCAGTTTTTGGATCCAATGTTTCATTAGCGAAATATTTGACTGTCTCGCTTCTTTTAACACACACTATATGTGTTTCGCTATGGTGTTAGATTACTTTTCATACCTTCCAAACCTTTTTGTATAAATATCCTCTAGTTTTTTACTTGAGGAACTACTAAAAGATCCAGAAAATATCTGAGTGAGCAAGAGCTTTTATAAACTTTTTAAAAATCATCAGTTAATATTACTTAACACTATTTTAAGGTTAATCAGTATTTTATAGTAAAGTCTTCTTTAGTTGGTAATTTCGGTGTCTCCAACGTAATTGGCAGTTTAATTGGGACTCATTGTTCAAGTTTGGTATATTTGAGAAACACATTATTTAAAAAGTTATGCCTACTCCAAATATTTTTCGTGCAATGCTGAACGTGAGCCTTCGAGACCACATAACAAACCAACAAATCAGGCAAAGATCAGAAGTTCAAGACGTCATGGAAAGAACCACGTCGCTTAAGTGGAACTGAGCAGGGCACTGAGCCAGAGCACAAGATGGACGGTGGACAAGACGTATTATGGAATGGAGGTCCAGAAACTATAAAAGAAGCCGAGGACGACCACCGACTAGATGGACCGATGATATAAAACGTATAGCGGGAAACTGGCTACAAGCGGCCCAGTGTAGAGAACACTGGAAAGAATTGAGGGAGGCCTATGTCCAGCAGTGGACGCGATTGGCTGAATGATGATGATGACTTTTATGGAACACTGTGTATAACGCGTTAACATAAGGATAAAAATCTACAAATTTGTATCTGTATTATTTGCAAAAAAAAAACAAAAGTTTTGATCTTATAGATTATAGAAAATAGAATTTTGGTCCCATGAGTGTTATAATGTCAACTAATTTTCAGATTGGTGCCCTTGGATTAATAATTGGAGGAACAGGTGTTTTATTATGTACATTAAACAGTTCAGTTAGAGCATCTATATTAGAATTGTGTCCGCCAAAAAATAAATGGGACCATCAGGGACTAATTACTGCATTGGACCATGCAAGGTATATATTCTGATAGGTAATATAATTTTTGTTAAAGCTAAACTCAAAGCATTTTATATTTTTTTCATGATTTAATATGGGATCACTAACAAAAAAATTTAGTGTCACAGTACTTGCTATAATATTTCTGACAAGTATTCTTAACTTGAAGTTAATTTCATGTTACTGAATAAATCAAATGATTGTCAAAAATATTGAGAATATTACCCTAAAGCCATCTACTTTAAAATAAGCAGGGTATGGCAGATAAACGACACCCTATATATTTCAAAATAATTAGAAAAATGTAGGTTTTATCTACTTATATATATAATCGAAAACCTCTCTACCCTAAGGTGTGAGGTAAATACAATACAATACAATTACAGGTTACAGATATACATTACATCTCAAATCCAATGAAAATATTTATTCTATTATATTTATTCTATTCTGTTCACGAATTTTGTCCATTCTTTCTTGTTTTTTGCCTTATTTTGAGCTTCTGACCATTCCAATCCCCTACTTTTCAAAATCTGCCCTACTTCGTCATCCCAGGTTTTCCGTGGTCTGCCTCTGATTTTAAACCTTTTCACTTTAGCCTTCCAGACTTGCTTAACGGGTCGGTTGTCGCTCATTCTGCACAAATGACCAAACCATTTTATTTGTTGTGTTTCAATAGCATGTAGTACTGATTCTGTGCCCAGTTCTTCTCTAACATCTTCATTTCTTATTTTGTCTCGTCGTGTTATTCCTTTGACTCGTCTTAGATATTTCATATCAATGGCTTGTATCTTGCTTTTTAATTGCTTTGTTAAAACCCAGCTCTCGCTTCCATATATCAAGATTGGTCGGAATACTGTCTTATAAACTGTCATTTTGGTTCTTCTGCTGATTTCCGGTTTACCTATGAATGCTCTACTAAGATTATGGTACACTTTTGAAGCACTACTGATTCTTTCTGTTATTTCATTCTGCATGGTACCTTCTCTGTCTATTGTAACCCCTAGGTATTTGAATGCATCTACTTGTTCTATGAGTTGTTGGTTAATTTCTATGTTAACATTTCGGTTAGTTTTCGCTATTAGCATCACCTTGGTTTTCTTAACATTAATCTTCATGTTTCTGATTGCCAGCTCATTATTCCAGCTATCTATATTTTTCTGGAGGTCCCTTTCGTTGGAAGCGCATAACATGAGATCATCTGCGAATGCACACTCAGCTATACCAACCGGTCGTAGTTTACTATATCCGATATGTACTTTGTGTATACTTGCTTTTGTTTCCTTAATTATGTCGTCAATAATCAATATGAATAGTGTGGGGCTCATAACACCTCCTTGTCTTAGACCCTCGTTTATTGCAAACATCTCTGATTCCAAGTTATCCTTACGTACATAACTCTTGTTATTTTGATACAGACTTTTGATAGCACCTGTTAGTTGATGGTCAATATTTCTATTTTGCAGACTTTTCCAGACTGCTTCCTGGGACACTCTGTCAAATGCTTTCTCAATATCTAGAAAAGCCATATATATTTCTGTGTTCTTTATTCTAGCTTTCTCAATTATTTGTTTTAACGTAAATATATGGTCTTGCGTACTGTGTCCCTTCCTAAACCCACTTTGTACTTCATCCAGATGTGGTTCAACGATGTGTCTTAATTTCTTTTCTAGGATGCTTTCATATATTTTGGAGACGATACCAAGTAGATTAATTCCTCTATAATTTTCACAAGAACTTGGGTCTCCTTTCTTAAAGATTGGTAGTATTATGCCAATTCTCCAATCTTTGGACTGTACATCGGTTCCAAGCCATGTTTATAATTTTGGTTAAAAATTCAACTCCTTTCGGTCCCATTGTCTTTAACATTTCTGCAGTGATTTTGTCATGACCAGCCGATTTACCTTTCTTTGTGTTGTTAATTGCTTCTTTAACTTCTTCTATTTGAATATAATTTTCTTGCCCATGTTCTCCTTCTACTTCTATCATTACAGTTTCCTATTTTGACTGTCTTGGTGTTAGGAGTTCGCTAAAGTATTGTCTCCATCTTTCCATAATCTCATTTGGTCTGGTAATCAGTGTGCCGTCTTTACATTTCACCTGTTTCATCGTTGTTTCTTTACCTTTTCTTAGCGTCTTTAGTGCCTTGTAAAACAATTTTTGGTTACCCTGGCTATCTGCCTCCATCTTCATTCCAAACTCATCCCAGGCTTCCTTCTTCTTCTTCAGCACCATTTCTTTAACCACCTTTCTTTGTCGTTTATATTCTTCGTAACTACTTTCTGTTCTCTTGTTTAAATATATTTGCTATTTCTGTTTTTTATATTTTATTTGGGCTTTTAATTCATCGTCCCACCATCGTGTTTGCTTCTTATTTCTGTTTACATGGTTTATTCCACACGTTTCTTTTGCTGTCGTCACGATGGTTTCTTTAAATTGTTTCCAAATTTCTTGTAAGTTGTCAGTACTATGTGCATTAGTTAATTTGGCTAGTTTTTCTTCTATTTTACTTTTGAACATGGCCGCGACTTTTTGTTCATTTAGTTTATAGTTTTGGATATTCTCGTTCACTTTATTATTTTTTGTTCTTTGTTGAGTGGTTTTAGGGTTTTTTTGGGGTAATCTTATCTTTGCCATTACCATATAGTGGTCACTATAGATTTCCGGGCCTCTTTTAACTCTGACATCAGTGACCTCTTTCCTAAATTCTCTATTAATGAGAACATAATCTAGAATTGATTTTTCATTTCTGCTCCTGACTTCTTTCGTTAACTTGTGTATATCTTTGTGTTCAAAAAATTTGTTGGTGATAATGAAATTATTCTCCATGCAAAAGTCTATCATCCTTCTTCCATTATTTATCGTTTCTTGTATCTTCCCCCCCCCATAATATCTATGTTATCATCGCCTCTTTTACCCACTCTGCTATTCATATCGCCTAGAATGACTATTTTACTTTTCACATTTTCTATGGCGTCATTGAGCTCTTCCCAATATTCTTCTTTAACTTTCAATGGTTCGTCATCATTCGGGCATATAGCTTGCTCTCATTAGGCATCCTACACCTTCTGCTGCTCTACTATCGTTACTGACTCCGCTGTACAAAAATACATGTTCTTTATTTAATTTATCCATTCCTTGACCTTTCTTTTTAGTTTCCGTGATCGCCAAAAAATCTAATTGTGCTTTGTCAAATTCATCTATTAATTCTCTCTACTTACAAACTAATAATCTAAATTTTTTTAAATTTTTGTACTCTTTCGCTGCAATCTTCCGTTCCGTTAGTGATGATTCACACTGTATACACGACAAATTTTTTACGTAATTAATTGTTGTTATGATAGAAAAATAAAATTAAAGCTGTACTTGTTTTTTTTTAGTTACATCTTATCTAAAGCGTTAATAAATATGTAATGTTAAAGAATAGTAAAATTTAACTATTTTTATTAGACCTATAATAATTACATACCTATATCTGTCAATTAAAGAAACAAGTATTTATAATGCATTATTTTGTATTCAAATTTACATATCCTTTTATTACTAAAATTAATTAACTACAACTACACAGTGCTGAATACGGCTCTGATTAGAATGAATCATATATCGACAATCTAATAGCAACACGTGCCTGAGAGTTTTGGCAACAATGATCTCCATAAAAGTATACCATCTTTTAATTCGTCATTCGTAATACGTCATTATCCATTCCTCATAATTATGTATTATATATTATATTTATATTATCGTCATATCTTATTCAGTCAGCAAAGCTCTGGTCTGTCAGGTGATTTATTTTCCATAGATTTTTTATATAATGTAAACATAAATTCATCATCTGATTTGTTAAAGTTACACATTCCGTATCTTTTGGTCTATCTATCCATCTAATTAGCCTTCTTCGGTCCATTTTTGGACATAGGCCTCCCCAATCCTTTTCCATTCTTCTCTGCCTGTCGCTACAGTCATCCACCTAGAGCCCACGTGTTTCTTGATATCATCTGCCCATCTCATTTGGGGCCTTCCTCTGCTTCGTTTATATTCCCACGGTCTCCAACTTATAAGAATTTTGTTCCATCGGTCTTCTTTTTGTCTTATATTGTGTCCGGCAAATCTCCATTTCAATTTTGCAACTTCTTGTCTAACATCCCTCACTTTTGTTTTTTCTCTTATACACTCGTTTCTCTTTTTATCCATTAGTCGTATGTGCGACATTTGTCTTTCCATTGCTCTTTGGGTTTTTATGATTTTGTCCATGTTTGCTTTTGTAAATGTCCACGTTTGGGACCATAAGTGAGAACACGGAGTACGCATTGATTGTATACTTTGGTCTTAAGATGCTGTGGATATCTTTTGTTCTTAGTTTGCCAAATGCCGCGCATGCCAGTCTAACTCGTCTTTTTATCTCTGCTATTTGGTTTTCCTTGTTAAGTTTTATAGTTTGACTCAGATATATATAATCCTGAACTTGTTCTATTTTATCTTGTCCGATCCTCATTGTGACATCTTCATTTGTATTTGTTATGATTTTGGTCTTGCTGTAATTCTTATTAAGATGATCTTTTGATGAGAACAGTAATTATTAATGTGTTATATAGGCGAACTATATGAAAAAAACTTTTGCTATAAAGATCAGCCTTGCTGCCCTTTATTCCATTTTTATTTGTGATTTGAGTATGATAATTTTTATAATAAAACTATACTTTTGTAATTTCATATTGAGAAATTACCATTTATTTCAATTACAGTATCAGAAGGGGTTACGAGGTCTACAAACAAGCATGCATCTCCTGTCATTCTTTAAGATATGTGGCTTACAGACATCTAGTAGGAGTAACTCATACAGAAGCAGAAGCTAAAGCTGAAGCGCAAGAGCAGATGATAGTAGATGGACCTGACGAAGAAGGAAACATGTACGAGAGACCAGGAAAACTATCCGATTTCTTTCGTCCTCCATATCCCAACGAAGAAGCTGCTCGAGCTGCTAACAATGGAGCATTTCCTGCAGATTTGACTTACGTAATTCTTGGTAGAAAACACGGTAAGCGACAAACAATAAATTAATACTATTCCTTAGAGTATATTCCATGTATGTTCAATGGAATTTATGTCTAGAGACATCGCAGGCCTCTTCAAAAGGCGGATATCTTTTGCCTCAAAAGTGTCATTAACCGTTTAAATCTTATGTGGTCGGTCGGTATCATCCATAAATTCAAAATTTTCACTCACTGCTCCTCGCCATAATCTCACATGAGGTTTTAAAATCCGTGTGATGTACCTTTGTCCTGTTGGAGCCTCGTTAATAACCACCAATTTCATGCGACCACCTATCATATTACTTGCTCAAAACAAAACTCTGCCACCAGCGAAAGAAAGTATGGAATGGGCATATGCTAGTTGTGCAGCTCTTGTTGGCTCTCGACAAATACGAATTTGCCGCCTATTAAAAAACTGTTAAGGAAGCTCTATGTGTTCTTGAGCACACTGGAGGCGATGTAAAACATATCTAGGTTATGGCTGAGGAACTCTTATTGGACGATGACTCCTTAAAGCTGACTCTAAAAGTCTTCTTGTTATTGTAACCAACGATACTTTGACTCCTACTGCATACCTGACGTCTCTTTGGAGGCCTGGTTCAGATATAAAATAATTTCTTCAAATAGAAATTCTGTTATATCTATCCTGTTACTTATTCGTAACTCTTGATCTTCCGGACTAAATTCTATTCTGTATCAAATGTGTCTTCATGAGCCTATTCGATATTCTCTGACAAACACCTACGTTGGAATACTACAATACAACATTGGACCTACGAAAGTAAACGACCAAGAGGAAAAGCACAGATGAGATAGGTTGATGACATTAAAAGAATAGCCGGAACAAATTGGAAATATGTTGCTCAGGATAGAGACTGATTTAAGGAGTTGGAAGAGGCCTATGTCCAAACATGGACGACAAAAGGCTAAGTAGAAGAAGAAGGATACAAATATGAAAAAGTATAAAAATCGTTAATCGCCATATTTCCTTTTGCAGACAGCAGATATTTTAAAATCAATATTCTGTTTTCTTCTTAATAAATTTAAAACTTTATATCGTTGATTGAATAACTCAAATTGGTTGATTTAATAACCCATTTGGGTTATTCAATCAACGTTTATATTTATTTTTTTTTTATTTTAGCCGAAGACTACATGTTTTCTCTTCTAACTGGCTACTACGACCCCCCAGCAGGCGTAGTGCTTAGGGATGGACAGTACTACAATCCATATTTCATAGGAGGTGCCACGGCAATGGGGCCGCCACTCTTTGATGATTCGGCTGAATATTCAGATGGTACACCGGCCTACGCAAGCCAGTTAGCAAAAGATGTGACCGTTTTCCTAAAATGGGCGGGAGAGCCAGAGTTTGACCATAGACAAAGAATGATGGTTAAGGTTTTAACGGCGGGCAGTGTGTTGGTTTTGACGGTGTGGTTTGTGTTTAGATTCAGATTCATGACCCTTAGAGCCAGAAAATTTCAGTATAGACCCAAGGGTTGAGATGTGGCAATATTAATAGATATTTTGATGTATTAACTATTGATATACTTTTACGTTGTGATATTTATGATGTTATTTATTGTATTTCTTTTTAGTCTGTTATTTTACCTATTTTGTTACTCAGATAACTTATATTTGTTTTAAAATATATACAAGAAAAATTTGTCTATGAGGTACATGCAGATAGTTTTGTATCTTTAAATAAAGTATTTACAGCGAAAAATGTTTCTATTTTGGCGAAAAAAACTCGTTTAGAGAACGACGTTTGCTTTGCCGTACACAATTTCTTGCCTATTTCTGTGTAAACAGCGAACCTAACATTTGACGTAAAAATTTTCTTCATTAGCTCAAACTCTGTTACTGGACATTTTTGAACACGATTTTCTCTTACATTTCCTGGCCTGAGATTTCACAATGGATGCCTGTCAGCTAAAAGGTACTGTTGACATATTGTCAGATCATGTTCCTGTTTCTGTTGTTAGTCAATTAAGGTTTAGATATAAGCATGTCCAAAATAATGAGGAAACAAAAGAGACAGTCTTTCAGTTCTTTCAGAAAAACTAACGTGGAGCAAATATGTAAGGCAGAAAACTCACATCAGAATATATGTGAAACCTTTAATAAGATCAGAGAAAAACATCTAATAGAAAAAAAAAAGAAACGAAAAAAGCTGGATGAATGACAATAGTCTGCAATTTGTGGAAAAAAAAAAATAAAAAAAGACAAATTAGTATAGAGTATAAAGTAGAGTAATCGGAAGGAGACATTAACAAGTTATAGAATAAACACCTGCGATCTAAGAATTATAGCAATATTTACTGGAATTAAACATTGTCTATAGGTACAGAGGCAGAAGACTCCGATGATATTTAAATCAAACATGTGGTCCGAGAAGGATATATACTATGACCCCTGCTGTTCAACATATACTCTAAGTAAATCTTTTAAGAAGCAATAGAGGATGTTGAAGCCGGAATTCAAATTAACGGATAATGTATCAATAACATCTGATGATATCTGATCAGCGAAAGATATCAATTTCTGCATCTCATTTTACAGCGAAAAGTAAAAGCAAAACGAGGACTAAAAAGGCGACAGATTTCCTGGCTGAGAAATCTACGTACGTGGTTTAACACAACAACCACAAATTTTTTCAGAGTATTGTACAAATAGATGTATGTTAAAGATGCCATGCATAAGATTGCCATGATGGTCGTCAACATCCGAAACGGATAGGCATTATAAGAAGAAGAACATTTGTCTTAATTTGCCAAATACTGCCCATGTGAGGTGAGGTGAACTTTACTTTAGGAATAATCAAAACAAATAACCAAAATAACACAATAATTGATGCTGGCAATGGATTGATATAATAGATACAATCCATGTGAGAACGGGCCTACGACAGGGAGATGCCCTATCCTGTATTCTATTCAACATTACATTAGAAAAAATAATTAGGGAGTTAAAAGTCAACACCAGAGGAACAGTAATAACAAAAAGTGTACAAATATTGGCATTTGCGTATGATGTTGATATCATAGCTAGAAGCGAAAGAGAGATGATAAAAGCATTTAATGCTATAGAAAGAGTGGTATAAAACAGTGGCCTAAACATTAACAAAATAAAATCCAAATACATGAAGGCCAGTAAACCCCAGACCAAAGAAACCTACAGAATCTGACAATAGGAGACTATAACATTGAAAGCGTGAAAAGTTTTACATATCTATGTTCACTAGTTACCGCAGATAACAATGTCGGTGAAGAAGTTAAGAGAAGAATACATATCGCTAATAAAACATATAATGGACTGATTAAACATCTAAGATCTAACATCACAAGAAAAACTAAATGCAAAATATACAAGACCCTGATAAAACCGGTCCTTGTATATGGATCATAGACATGGACACTGTCGAAAAGCGATGAGAATCTATTAGGTACATTTGAACAAAAATCCTTAGACACATATATAAGGGGGTAAAGGAAAATGACATATGGCGTAGAACATACAACTGAGAACTATACACAGCATACAATGAACCCGAGATCATAAAATCCATAAAGATTGGACGCCTGCGCTGGATAGGCCATTTTAAACAGATGTTGGAGATTAAAACGCCAAAACATATAAAGAGGTAAACACCAATAGGGAGAAGGTCAAAGGGAAGACCCAAACTTAAATACATGGAACAAGATCTGAAAATACTTAAGATCCCAACTGGAAAAACAAAGCAAGGAATAGGATAGAATGGTAAAAAATCCTAGAACAAGCCAGGACCCAGAAAGGCTTGTCGAGTCGAGCTACTGATGATGATGAAATGGAACTAGTAGCTCATACTCCAACTCATTAGTACCATATATATATATATATATATATATATATATATATATATATATATATATATATATATATATATATATATATATATATATATCCGGTTTTTGAGGCGTTACGCCCGTCCGGTAGGGATCTATGGAGGAGTATCACCGAGCCGCAAGCCCTTATCTCTTGCCGTACTGCTCCACCATAGGCCGATCAGATCCCAGCATATTCTAGTCTAAGCCGCAGATTCTTCTAGAATTTTAAACTGCTGCGTTAGACTTTTTGTTTTCTGTACACCGAGTTTTCTGAACCATTCGACAGTGAAGCGAATGCGAGGCAGCCGCACAGCCCGCTGAGCTATCTGACCGACTATATATATATATATATATATATATATATATATATATATATATATATATATATATATATATATATATATATATATAAACGAAGAATGATCACAACTGTCCAATTATTAATTAGTATACTGGTAAGGATGATTGGGTTCAATGGTTAAGGTTGAGTGTATTCAGCTGCTAACTCAATCAACCTTACCAGTATACTAATATATATATATATATATATATATATATATATATATATATATATATATATATATATATATATATATGGGATTTGAAGTTTCCTGTTTTCCGGGTTTGACCCCGCGTTAAGTAATTTTGGTTTTTAGAAAAACCATTGTTTTGACGACGTTTCGGCAAGGTCACACTTGCCATTGTCAAGTCAGATTAGTTCTGCTTCGTCTTGATCTTTCAAGAGAACTCTTCTCTTGAAACATCAGATTAGATGTACTGGCAATTCAACATGGTCATAGAGTATTGAGATTGCCTCCATATCATTGCCACCTTAACCCAATTGAGAATGTTTGGTCAGGTTCTAAAAGATATTATGATACAAAAATAACTTCTGCAGGTACTGTAAATGAAAGTACTGTATTAAGTATTTGGAAAGAAGCATTAGAACAGGTAATTCAAAAGCACTTAAATTCGTAGATAATAATTGGATAATAATTGTGGTTAAATTTAAGGTTACACCAGAAAAATGGAAGGAATATGTAAGACATGCAGATATCATAGATACCATAAAGGAATCAGGAAGATATCATAAATGAATACTGGTAGACGGCCAAAAAAATTGATGACAGCCACATATCCTATAATTATTGATTTTAACGAATCAGATACTGAATCAGATTGTGAATTCAGGAATGATATTGAGGAAATATCTTAAACTATTACCTTTATGGATATTTATATGTATTAAAACGGTTCTTTTTAGAACCACATTTTCTTGAAATGTAAGATATAATTGATGCCAGCCACATATCCCCTGTAATCATTGATTTTAATGAATCAGATTCTGAATCGGATTATGGATTGTTTGAAATATAATATTCATTTTTGTTATTCATAAAAAAAGAACGTAAACTTACATTCGGTATCATAAAAAAAGAAGAAAACTTACATGTTTTAAGATTAAGAACTGGTAGATTAACTCAAAAATCAACTGATTCACTATTTAAAATATTTACATTGTTTTTTTAACTAAACTTTATAACACTCTTTCATTTGCACACCAAATCTGGTAGAATAACTCAAAAATCAACTGCTTCACTATTTAAACTATTTCCAATATTTAATGATAAATCTTCACAAAATTAAACTATTGGTTGCCACAGAAACTTATCGGAAAATTACTTTTCCGAATATGACTGATTTCAATCGATGCTATTAATTTGTCACAGGAATGTTTGCAGTAAAATTTTTTATCTGGCAGTCAACTCTTAAAAGATTCTAGGAGGAAGCGTTATTTTAAATAAACAAACATTCCAATTCCATAGTGTTTGTAATAAATAATAATAAATTCATAAATAAATCTTAGCTAATTAAGCACTTTCCTTGGAATGTATAGAATAGGAATTATGACAAACTGTCGTTCCAATATAATGCACAATAAAAATTTATATACAGGACGGGACCTCTAATATGTAAATTAAAATTTTTTTTTAATTGTTAAAGTTTTTATTCCATATTAAAAAAAATAACCTTTTCACATTTAGCCGATTACGATCCTGCAACTGTCAGATTTAACAAAAATATCATGCAATAATCCTCGACATTCTTAAAATCCTATATGATACCATTTTTGATTTATTATTTTTAATTCCTAGTTTTTAACTTTGTATTTTACTTATTTTTGTAATAAAGTGTTTTTAAAAACGCAATTTTAAAAACGAGTTATTTAATTATGTGCGCATCATATTATATAACTACTGAAAGCTCGAAACGGATGTGGAAGATCAAGTGAATAGAGTAAACACAGCCGCAGGTTGCCGGAATGAACCAATATGGAGAAATAAAAATATAAAAAAAAATGAAACGGAGAATTTACAAAACAGTCATCAGACCAATAATGACACAAATGGCAGAAAAACGACCTAACACAGAGAAGACAAAAATGATGTTAGAATTAGTAGAGATGAAAACGCTCATAAAAATTGATAACAAAACAGTATGGGACAGACCTAGAAGTACAGATAGACGACGTAGATGCAACATAGAGAACATCAAGGACTGGGTAAGAAATAGAAGAGTAGAATGAAACAATCATATAAGCGCATGACGATCAAATAGAATAGTAAAAAAGAGGGCAAGAGAGGGTTCCCCAATAGAAAGACGATCAGTAGGAAGACCACATAAACGATAGAATGACACATAGATAGAATAGAACATTGAAAAACAAATAGTCATGTCAACATAAAAAGAAGAAGAAGAAAAGCATTGATGCTAATAAAATCATAAGGAGACCATTGTACCTCCAGCCTGAT